ACAGTTTTGTAGAAAATGTACAAAAGTCGATATATCGCCGTAATTTATTGATTTCGAAAAAATAAAAATAAAAACTTGTTTAATGTTCTTTAATAATCTACCTAACAAACTAAACAAAACAAACAAAAAATAGTAATCATCGATAACATCTAATAATAATTAGATTAAGCACTTTTGTCCCTGCTGCATTTGCAGTCGTTTACACCCAACAATCCGGACTGGGCCCGCATGGTGGCTCATGAACTATATTCTATTCGATTCTATCCTATCCCTAGCGGTAGGACATCAATAGGTTGATGATGAATCTAAGTAAGAAGTACGGTTGAAAGCGTTATTTTTGTTTCACCTTTCACTTATTCGGTTTTGTTAATTATACAATAGACTCACTTATAGTACAGTGAACTTAGTACAAGGTCTTTTTCAACAACAAAAAAAAAAATCTTTGGACAAACGTAACAGGCTTTTATTTTTGTACCTACCTCGTACCTCATATCCTATTTATTCAAAGGTTAACAAAAGCAAAAGCTTTTGGAAATAATATAAGCAGATAAATTGAAACGTGACTAGCTAAAAACGAAGAAACAAGAATATTGCGTACAATGGCGTGATAACTAATAGAGATCAAGACAAAAGAAAAAACCAACAATGAAAATTCCTGAGTAGTTTTATAATTATTTTCATATTTTCAGAGGTATTTTACAGTGTGCCCAAGGTAGATAACCTTGTGGAAAGAACGGGGTTTTATGCTTATCCTCAACGCGTAGCTTGACAAACACGAGAACGTTTTGTCCATCAGAAGGTACAAGACCTTCCTATAAATGGAAACGAATAAGGGGCCGTCCATTAATCACGTGAGGCTCGAAAGGGGGGGGAGGGATTCGTCAAAAAACACGAAATATCACAAGGGGTGGGGAGGTGTAGTAATATATCACGTGTATTTATTTTTTCCTTGACGCGCGATTATTAAACCGAAAAGCGATGTGAAAGATTAAGGTCTTTTATTTTTTTTAATATACGTGATTTTGTTCGAGGGAGGGTGTAGTCTTAAACCTCACCGAGTATCACCGAGGGGGAGGGGGGGTCAAAAAATGTTGAAAAAACATCACGTGTTTAATGTATGGCCCCTAAGGAGAATGGGAAGGACGAACCCTAAGGAGACCCTAAGGAGAATGGAAATAAGGAGGAGAATGGGCCATGACTCCAATGCTGATTGGTGGGTATTAACGAATGCACATATACAAACGCCTAATCTCATTCATTCCACGACCGGCCCTTGCTAAAGTTGCTGAACTTCGGTTAACCATCGAGCTCTTCTTTCGAATGATTTATCTTCGATCTTATTTTATTTTATTAGTCTTTCTGTGTGTATGCCTACCCTACTACCTACCTACCCTTACATAATCCATTAGCTACCATCAGCGACTTCGCCCGCGTGCTACCTAGGAAACTTTTCAGTGGGCTAAATAGTACCCCATAATGTTAATTAAAAGACTAAGAATTATCCGTATACCAAATTCCATTAAAATACATTCAGTAGTTTTTACATGAAGGATTACAAATATCCTAACCTTCAAGTTTCGCCTTTATAGTATTAGTAAGATAAGATATTTATCTGCGAGTGCGAGTTAACATTTAGCAGAATGACACCCAAGGAAGTAATTGGGACCCTGGGAGATATTTGTGAAGCCGGAATAATACTGATTAAGCTGTAGCGAATTGTAAGCCTATTAGATAATCGTATAAAATAATCTACATATATATTTACTTAAGCGTACAACTGGGATCTTCAATAATACTTATTTCAATGTCTTCAGTTGTTTATTAAGTATATGTCGCATCTTCTTTACGAAGATCGTTTGATTTAGTTTCTTTTATTTTAATTGCTAGTTACTCGATTACTTAATTACTCGATTGTAGAGAGAGCGTGATCATCGATACTTTTAATTTTATTAAAATGGTGACACTGACTTTGACAGTTCGTTAACAAAAAAACAATTTGCCGCCATTTTGGCAGACATTCTGTTTCCGATCGCCGAGGAGTAAAGACATCTGACGACATCACGCTCATCTCGTTATATTTTCGTGTGAAAAGTGATAAAATGGAACAAATCCACGTTGGTATACACGCCTGCAGTGTTATTTCTAAGATAGTCCTCCGGTAAGGACAATCTATTTGGGCTTTGTAATAGCCCCTTTGACGACATATATGTTTCTTAGTTATTGCAAAATCACAAATAGTCGAAAATCACCCCTTCTTACTCCGGTCCCCACTAACTATATCTGTTAGATGTTGTCAACACCACAAGACTATGACAACATTAGGTACTTCTAGCAGAGGCTACATGAGGGTTTATATCTCTCCAGACGAAAAGACTGCCCGTATATTTTATGATATGTGTGACTACTTTTTTCCCAAGTAATCCTAATAAATATAGGTGATTATATGAAGTTTTATTTCATTATCACTTTCAAGAAAAACCAGAAATCATCCGTCCTTTAATTTCCGATATCTACGGCCACTCCGGATAAACGGCCCGCCACCCTCTCCCCTAGAGTTTAATAGAGGTTCTCTGTTCGTATCGTACATATTTTTTGTCTAATATGTATGCTCAGCGATTATTCCACAAATTCTTTGACACATTTTCAAAATGATGTATGTTTAATTATATATTTTTTATTAATATACTTTTAGAATTTATCCTCCTTTACCTTCTCACGATTACTCAAACGTTTGCTGGAAGAAAACTCATATTTGAGTAAAGCTCGCCTTTTGTGTAGCTACACGTTCCTAAAATACTGTTATTCTAAAAAACTTAAGTGTACCTACAATAAAGTTTAAATTTTTTTTTGACTTATGGTCTGAGGTGGTCCCATATGAATTTTATCGCAATCAGATTAGTAGGTACTTTCTTAATAACTGTCTACTAACAAAATTAAAACATTCTAGTTTACTCGGAGGTCAGCAAAGCACACATAATTACTGTGAATGATACTGACGCCTGGAATAATAATGAGATCGGAATATAAAGCACGCCCCCATTTAGTCCGGATCTAATGCGATATTAACATGCGCGAATTATGTATAGTGGATCAGCCCCCTTATTCTGTAATTCTGAAGACAATTGAAATAAATTGTTCACAGAGCCTGACATACGAATAACTAAGTGTCAAAAACGTTCCCTTTTTCGTTCATTTGGGATATGAATTCCTGCTAAAAATACAGCATTCCTGCAAAGGAGACGTTTACCAAAAAATACTTATCATTTTGTACAGTATTAGTTCCACGTGGGCAATCAACCTCAATAGACCGAGAAATGTGACGTCACAATTCTATTAGGGTTGAAGGCATGCCTGTAACGGTGGATCCGCTCTTACAGTAAATGCGACATGACATGACAGTTAATTAATTTGTATTTTATTTGTCAATTTAGTCAAAACATGGAACCACAACTGATTGACATTCAGAAAAAAGTCAGTTGCTTTTAAAGTACTGCATGGGTTCAAATAATTAGAGCAAAAATGATTATCCCCCCATTAAGAGCGCCCTAGGCAATCGCCTAATATGTCTGAAAGGACGGGGCTCTGAGATTACTAAGCGTCGACTAAATTGCAATACCTACGTAGTTTACAACTTGTTTTCTATATGTACATAAACTGTAATCCGACAAAACGAAAATCTGTCGGGATAATAAATGGCTTGCAGTTAGCTTTAAGCTTGAAAACATTTTATATTTATTTATTCACAAAACGTGATCGCCATTAAAACGACTTTTCAGATAGTACCTACCATTAATCCGTATCTAGAAGTTTATTCAGATTTTATAACAGTTGTCTATCGTTTGAAAACAGAAGTCAACAATGCCAAAAGCTAGTTAATAGATATTCAAGGATAACGATATTTTAATATTTTAAAGTAAAGTAGCTTTTGCAGTATAAATATATAAAACTATTTATAAGATATTTATTCTGCAAATTATGATTTATTGTACTATTTACCGAGATGATAAACCAAAACTATCTTGCAATGTTTGCAACTCTTATAACACTAATTATAGATCAATATTTGGAAGTTATACTATTACTGTATGCGTACATAATTCAGGCTTATAGTGTGTTATAAAGCTGTCAAGACCGGCAGGTATCTAAAAGTTCCGAAAACATCAACATCCAGGATATTTTTTTACGATTACAGTTTGTTTCTATTAACGACGCCGATTTTGTGAATTAGTTCTATTTAGACTTGAGTACCTATCGGTGATCAAAATTACTTTTCAACAGCACGAATATGATTGCAAATCTTTCTAAATATAGCATTGAGTTATTATATCACTTGTCACAATAGAAAAAATGGCGTATAATTTGTAATAGCTCTCTTGTCACAGCATAAGATTAAATTAATAATTATATATTAATTGTGAAATTTGTTCTCTCTAAAAATTGCACAGTTTTTTTTATTTATAACTAAAACATCTGCATATAATACAGACTCTTATTGATGTTTCGCACTTTATAATATCGAACCCTCTGACGTAGGTGCCCATGCCCTTTAGGTCGGCCCACGCAAACCGCCTCACAACCCGCACCCTATTTCGCCACAAAAATACTGAATAAACAATTTAAACAACGTAATGTTATGATATAATTAGTCTACGAGTAAGCTGTACCTACCGACCAAAATATTATTCCAGAAAATTGAAAAGCGTTGCGCTCTTGATTACGCCTTCATTACGTTGAACAACAAAAGCGTACAAAACAAATAAAGGCACATTGATTAATGTTTCGTCCGGGATAACTTACACAATCACCCTATGCACGGGTGGTAAACAAATTAATGCATCACAAATAAGTATGACACAACACAAATGTGTAGATAATCAGTATCCGAGTAACAGGTACTTATATACTAACTCGACTACAGTTTCAGACATGGCGCTCTAGCTCAGTGGCCACAAAGAACCTGAAAGTTGTACTGATGTACAGAGTATTGAGTATACACTCACCGTTTAGAGCCGTCGATAATAGATCATGTCCGTGATGGAACAGAGCACTTAGGAGCCTCGATACAGGCACTGAGACACGCGTTGAGGTTTGGTGGCGGACGCTAAGCCAGCTGTGTCGAAACGGGCGTGCGCACTCAGCTCTATCGATCCCAGGCCGGTCCATTCACGTGTTACCACTTCCAACGCCTACATAACTACAACGGCCCAATGTTAGACACCGATCACTGTTTGATAACGCAATATTAACACTTGGCGCTTCCACACTTGAATCACTCCATTTGGACACTAATTATAATATATCCGATAAAAGCTTAAGTATATACTTATGAAGAATCTAAATCAACTTCTAATAGCGCTGTAATTATTTTTAACTAAATACTAATGTAATATCATGTTTTATGACTGAAGTCGAGTAATTACTGAATATGGTAGGTATAAATACAAATACAGTGGCGTTGCCTTAGTACAGTCGCCCACGCTAGTGTTATCGCTTGAGGCTCAGAATGCTAATGACGTTGTTACGATAGCAAATGTCGGGCTAAATCGATGTCAAAACAATACTGCATAATAGATTGTTTTATTTATAATTCCACGAAAGTACTTAATTGAAATAGACGCAAATTAATGTCTTTAGCTAATTTTGGATTATTCCTGACATTTGCACTCAATTAATTACCTTACAAAATTGGCATGAAAATAGCCTATTTAATTGTTTGTAATTATGTATTCTATATAACTGAACGGGGATTGTCTGGCGATATAAATATGTAGACGGGGTAAGTTACTTAATAAGCTGAACTAATAATACCGAATACGTTTATTATAATTCCCATTTTGATTGTTTTGAACTATAGTGGTAATATTTAGCTTGCTCCGCCTAGATTGATATGAAAAAACTAGGACCTACCCACCCGTGACGCCATGAGACGTGGGCTAGATGTAAGTGTGTTTTAAGAGATTTTAATTCTAGACCAACTGAACAATTTATGTATATTTGGAATGTACAAAGACGAGCTAATACCTGATGATATTTCATTATTCAATTACAAAGTTCCCATAACCACCTTCCAGTTATATCATCAGTTCCTGGATATTTTTTTTTCAAACATGGCAGAATTCCTTAGCTTTCTTCGTTAATTTACAGAGGACGCTTTTGTTTCTTCTGGCTACATTATCAGATCACCTTCATTTCATATCAATATTGCATTGTTTTGTATAATGCATACAAAGTTTTAATTCAATAAAAAACCAACGTCAAATTTAATTTAGAAGATTTGATTACACACAAACCGAAGAAAAGTCATCATTTTATTTCGTTCTTATAAGACCAAATTGAACTTAAGATCCAAAAAATACGGTTTATATTAGAAAGTTTCTATCATTCAACACAATTTTGGCGTCGTTGTTTCGCTCCAAACATAAATTTGGTCCTTCGAGCGGGATGAATGTCGTACTAAACTGTCATTACACGATTCAAAAGTAAGTTACTGGTATGGACTATAACCACCATGCACATATGTTTTGAATATTTTTAAAATACAAGAACTACCTATTGTTTTGGTATCGAAATAATACAAAGAGTATGTATCTGAAACGAGTTTTATTAAACTCCATAAACATTTGCATTAAACAATACTAGTATGTATATCAAATCAAAAGCAACACTTGGTAATACGAATCTTATCTCAATGAACGTAAAGTGTATATGTTAAACTTAGAATCTTCGCTAATCATATTAATTTTTCGAGATAGAATCACTAAGTTAACTGTGAAGCCAAGCGTTACTCTTGTTCAACAATCAACTGTTTATGTTTAAAATACACATTTATAAACTGTACATTTTTACATTACTTTGTTAAACATATAAGTCACAAGTTTTAGCTACACGTGGCCTCTGGCTCATTGTATGAACTATTATACATAATCGTTAAAAGAATAGGTTGTTATTCACTAACATATTTTTTATAAGCTAAAGGGCTCATGCATCATTCTACCAAACAGTCCCATTACAGATCGAGTTCACAGTTTTCGATTCGATTTAAACAAAATTTATTTAGTAGAATTGGCCCCCTGTACTAGACATGAGACGCATCTTGCTCGGTTTCCGAACGCCCGCGTAGGTTACAAAAATATTTTTAGTCCTGCTTTATGCGGCGTACGTAAAGGCGGGGACCAAGTAGCATGGTGAATGGACTCCTTTACCATTATAAAAATAAAACAGCGGATTATTTGTTTCGTGTTAAATTAACCAAAAAAAAACAATATTAATTGACAGGAAATACTCCAGTTAAGAAGTGCATACATTTTATTGAGTATATCTTTTGAAAATATACTTAAAAGCATGACGACAAAATTTTAGCTGCTAAACTTCTACATTTAAGTAGATTCAGTTGATACTTCGAAAATAATAAATAAACTAGAACAAGTACAGTCAACAGCATGTGAAGTAAGATATAAAAGTGTCAAATATCTCCAATCCAACTTAAACCTTAATCTTAATAGTTTAGTTCAAAATTAACTGAAAATTTTGTCATTCAGTAATGACCTGATTTTATCTCAAATTGTAACTGCTGCGTATATCAAATAGAATGACACATCGATTCGCTAACAAGAAAACAATAGTACTTGTTAAAATACGACATTATGAATACTAAACTACGGTCTATTTTCCCAAACGCAACTAAAAAATAATGAAATAAAAATCAGCCTTTCAAAATTTATATGTATGCGATTAGATTTAGGGCATACATTGTTACAACGAAATCGTGAAGCAGAGTATTATAACTTAAAAAAAAATCTGTTGAATAGATCGAGGTTCCCGAAAAAACGTCATCTTTATAAAGAGACAAACACAACATAAGTTCTTAAAGATTAATTCACTTATTTTGTTATATTGTCCCTTTCAACCAACATAGGCATATATTATTACCAAGCAAAACTCTAAAGTATTTGATTGTCGTTATTGTCTGTTATTGATTGTAGTTATATAAACATTTTATAGGGCAAATTAGATGTGAACAAAAAGGTGAGCATGTCGTTTGCGCTTCGTAAAAGACCATTGCAAAATTAGGTACACTATTATGCTTTAATCCCGAATATTCCAGATTATGGTGATCTGATCACATATCTATCAGAGCCGAAGGAGGCGGACGAATGCTCTTTCAATTTCTTCGTTATTGGCTCTTTTATGAATTAGCCAGCATCAATTTTCAGGTTGCAAAGGTGTTTATTATTTGTTCAGTTTTACTCCGCTTGTTATCCATTGCTCTGCTTGTACGGTAGCCGGGCGTTGCGCGGGACAAGGGCAGGACATGAAAGTAAACAAACAGTAAACATAAAGGGGAAAACGATCAAAATTTTAGAGTTGAGGTACTTGAAACAATGGCCAAGCGTTCTTGTTAAGACCTTAGTAAAGCAGCATTATTTATCTAAGTATAACAATTTTATATTATTACTGTCTATGTACGGGCACAGGACGATTTCAAAATCAGGATATACAAATGACAATAGTACATCTTGCAGATAAATGACAAGTGACATTAGAATTCTGACGATTCGGCGCGAATGTCGCACGATCTCGGCCTGATCACGGTCGAGAAAAATGGGAGAGATCTCGCTAGTTTAACGAGATTGTACTCGAGCACAAATCGACGACTTATTTTAAGTGCGGCAAAGAAAATTTATGCGAGTCCGGAGAGTCAAAAAGGCGTAGATTTACACTTTCACAGTACTTTTGTTTCCAAAAGGGCCTTCTAAGCGGCTGGTTGTAATACCAGCACAATAAGAAGACGATTAGCAGACGATTTTTTGGACATTTTGTGTTTCTTAAGAAGCTACTTTCCAAATGATTCGTAATAATGGTGTATGAGATGAACCGAACTGTTTATTGTTTATACATTCCACTCACGAATGCACTCAATTATGCTTCAATCCCGAATACTCCTCAATTGCTTGCTCTCCATGACATTAGCACAACAATATTTATGATATTCAGTGCTACAAAATCTAAAACAGTGCCCTCAAGTGGTTCTAAAAAATAAAATTAGTATGCTTTTGAAAGTTTTAACTCGTGAGTACCTAAAAATACAATTGTTTTAGTAATTTACTACAAATATGCTTCGTATATAATTAGCTATTTTGTAGAAAAAGATTTGGCTAGCTACTCGAATGGTTATTGAAATAAGACTCACTGTAAATTTTAATCGTACGTTCTTCAACTTCGAAAGTGGTAGTACTCTGTCCAAATAAGATTCACCATGCCCCATATCCGTATAATCAGAGTATTATAAATATAAAGTAAATTTTAATCGTACTTTTTTCATCTTCGAAATTGGTAGAACTCTGGCCAAATAATATCAGAGTAAACTCTGATATTTAATTAGACGGACTAAACTGACAGTTCAATTCACCTCTTTTCTTTCAATGTTGCAAACCTTCAATTTAGTTATTTTATATAGGTAACTAGCTCTATTAAATGATTTATTTATCAATTCTATGATATGACACATTGAGTTATTTATATTAGGTTCTTTATTTTTTCAATGAAAATACTTACAGTCACGCCGAAGATAGAGTTTTACCAAAAAAATTATTAAAAACTTTTTTAGCATTTAACATTTTTCTAGTCTTAGAAAAGTTCTGTTTTAAATTAAGCGTTATAATTTTCTAACTATAAGACAAACTAATGAGTAATGTCTCATGGATCACATCACTTCCTATCGCTCATACCACAACACTATTTTTTAAATAAGATAAAGGAACAACCCACTAAATTCAGTGTAGTACATCTACTTAAAAACCAGAGTATAGTTGGATCTTACTGTATAGTAAACAGCCAAATTACACAAATTTGTCAAAATATACCGCTTGGTATTACCTTATTTTTTGAAAGACATCTCGTGGTAACGTGAAAAAGGAAAATAAAGTGCTTAGTAATAACATTTTTCGTCGAATAAAAGCCCGAAAACCTTTAAAAGGCCGCATATATTTATGAAAACTTGCTTTAACTAACTTCGAATCATTCATTTCGTTTATTACAAACAAAAATTTCTCTGTTGGCAGTTTACAAAAGTAATATCATGTAAAATGTCAGTTTCTTTTTTACATTACTCATCACTTTTCTAAGTGGTTATGTAAATTACAATTATTTATATCACATATCAATCAAATCATTATAAATGTCATGCAATAATTTCCAGGCAAGATCTTGTTGCAACAAGATAGTACAAAATAAAAGAAAAAATACACAATTGCATGTTCAACTAATCTAACAGGTACAAAAAATTATGAGGCACCTTTTTAATGTAAAACTGAGTTGTCAACACGTAAAATTATTATATAAATGACCACAGAATCATAAGTAAAATAAATGTATACGTTATAATCAGGACATCTAAAAAGCTAAATAAAAAATCTGCAGAGCGGAAAACCGCATAATGCTCAAAGTCTATTTCTTAAAATACTGACAAAACAGATAGCATATGAGAGGTCTACTTTCAAAACCCAATACGTTTTTTATATGAAAACCGAGTCTTACTTTTAAAATGTACTATATATATTCCTTTAATATCTCCATCAATCAGTTTTCATCAGAATTAAGTCCTTTATAAATAGACATACAAAAATTTGTTTGTTGCAAACTTTGTTCATAAATGAAATATAAACAACAGAATTCAGTGAGGTATTAAAGAAAACTGATTTTGAAAGTAGACTGATCTTAATATAAAAAAAAGGATAAGCATTAGCTTTTTTAAATTTTCAACTCATCTTTCAATTAAACGTTTAAGAAAACCCAGCTTTTATGAAAATCCGAGTGCTAAAAAGTCAGTTACCAGCAGCGTTATTCTGTTATAAAAAGCAGCTTAAAACTATAACGAACGCAATGCTGTCATAGCATAGAAGTTCAATCATATAAAACCTACTTGAAATATAATAAAGGTTTTATTTCATTGAAGTTCTTTGCTTTCATAACGCTGCGTTTGACGTCGAATTTGAGGTTGTTTTAACAGAATAACACAGCTGAATATGAACATAGGTCTTTAATTAAAACTGTTTTTCCATTTGAGCTTTAAGAAATGGCGGGCTTTATTAATCTTACTAGTTGAATAATCCAATTAATTGCAGTAGTGGTATTATTATACGTAAACTGTTTTCTAAATATATATTGCGGTTGCTATAGCAACGAAACTTTCATTCAAATTCGAGATATAAAATATAATGTTCACGAAAATTACATTTCTAAACAAGTTACTCTTAAGGTAGCACACTTAAACGGCAAGGCTTCAACCTAACAATCAACATGTCTTTCGAAATGGACCATTAAACCATGTCATATAAAAACTTAAAGTTAAGAGCTGCCATTGGCTTTTTATTAGTGACTTGTGATATATGACATACGATTTAAGCCGCTAGTACACTGACGCAATCGTATGCGAAAGCGAAACAAATAAAAAAAACTATATTAGTATAACGGTAATGTTTAGTTATGCTTTGTCTCGCTCTATTTTTGCTTAACGAAATAGCTGCGTCCTTGTCACTACTGTTCGCAGACAACTACGAAAGGTGTTTCGCATTCGCAATAGTAACGCAGATGTTTCGCTTTCGTTAGCGAATGTGTCGGTGTGTAAATCGCCGGGTTGGAGCTCATTCGATATATGGACTATCGTTGTCTGTCCTACTCTAACTTATGCATTATTACTTGCATAGAGTAGGACAGAGCAAGATGAATTTGAGATTATAACGAAATACTTATCATATAAATAGTTTCAAGAGTACAATCCATGAGTTGTGAATAAATATCTTTCACTACCAGGAAGACAAAATTCTTTAGACTGAAGAATAATAATTCCTTCAATTGTCTTTACGTAACGTAACGCTAAATATATACTTGACATAAATATTATTACGCTTAAACAATAAATCTACAAAAGATTCTATACGAATATTCATTATACACAAAATAATCGAGCTCAAATTATATTTTTTTTTATATTTTAATATCACACAATGGTTGTTTGAAAGAATCATGATAATTGTAAACATGACACTTATATAATTTGAAGTTTCTTAAGATGACTCTTACTGTAATAAGACTTACATTTTAATAAAGATTGTGTACAGAAACAAATCCTATTGTATGCAAATCAATACTAGCATACTATAACCATTCATAATAATTTAAACAACAAACAAAAAATGCTTTTCAGGAAATAATTAATACCGAATGTGTAAAGAATTTGCGAAAATTATTATAAATTATTATTGTTCTCGTCAACATTCTTCATATGAATGAATCATTTACAATAGACATAAAATACATACATTAACTACAGGTGGGAACTGTTTCTCCACCAAATAAATACAAAATTCAATAACAATCAAAGCATTTTAAGAGTTTTTTTTTTAATTAGAGATATGCATATAGATTCTGTATATTACTTAGGTTTAGAGGGGCAAGGTGGCGCCGGCCTATGCGGTCTCGGTGTCGCTTCCTCATACACTTCATCATACAAAGTGGACGGCTGGCTGGCACCATAAACACCCCGACTCGATTCCCCGATCTCACTGTAAATGTTACTGGCGGTATCATTGACGTCATCGTACAAGACCTCCGCTCGTGACGTCGACGCCGCGTTCCCGTAGTTCCCACCGAAGTTCCCGTAGTTACCGTAATCCACGTTCTGATATTTCAACGCGCTATAATTCTTTGAATTCTCCAATGTGTCACTGAAGTTCTGCAACTTCTCCGCTTTCTCCACGTAAATGTTCTTATCATAATCGTTACTTATTTTAGCCTCTGATGGCGTAGACAATTTTGTATAATAATCCTTCGACTCGAACATGAACTGTTCCTGATTAGTATTAAGTTCGAAGTTATTGTATATAGGTATATCATTATATCTACTATCGCCGGTCACAGATCGAGCGTCGCCGTAAACTACGTCACTATTTGAATATATATTCTCACAATTGGTATTCTTCGATCTGAGATTCAAAGATTCTGAGATTCTGTCGTCTAGCGACATTCCCGCAAGAGATGCAGTGACGTCTGAATCGTTTTTTTCTAAGCAGAGAGCACTACTATTCGCGTATAACGTATTAGGTATAGCACCATAATTATTACTTGCATTTATTCTATTGTTCGGTGTGACATTATTATAAATTTGAGTGTTCTCAGAGTTGATGGTAGTAAAACTACCTATAGAGTATCTTTGAGATTCATCTGATCTATTATTTGTGTAAGAATATGTGGACTGTGCATCGTAGTTCGATCTAGAGGAGCTGCTTTGTCCAGCTGTTGGCCAAAACTGATGAGTTTCGAAAGGATCGGATTGAGCTAATGATATATGTGAGTTAGATGACATCGCTAGATTGTCCAACGACTTTGCTCCATAGAGACTGGGATAAGGTTGGACAGTTTGACTGTTTGTCGAATATGATGGGAGGCTTTCAATGCTAGGTTCGCCCCAACTAGTCTCTTGAGCTGAAATAATAATATATTCAGTCATTTTGATTGTAATCACCACTGTAAATATGAAATTATTATAGTACGGCTAACTCTTTAGTGTAGTGACAAAATAAAAATAAATGCTCAAGCTGTTGCCTAAATATATATTGTACCTAGCTTTCCGTTAGCGGCTTCGTCCGCGTGGTGCCTAGGGAACTATTTACTGGGATAAAAAGTTCTATTATCTAAGTCAGCTAATACCCTATCTGTATACCAAATTTCATCAAAATCTGTTCAGTAGTTTCGGTGTGATTGAAGGACAAACATCCAAACAAAGAAACTCACATTTATAATATGAATAGGATTACGCAGTAACCCATGTTAAACGAATTTGGTAGTATTTAATTGTTAATTATCTTATAATAACGTTATTAAAATTAATTAATTCATTGTAAGTATTTAATTTATATATTTACAGAAGTTTACTCACCGACTTCCGGCACATCAATAGGTTCGTCCAATATTGAGATGTTCTGGCTGATCGTTTTCTTTGTAGGTGACGTTAACCGCGTTGAAGGTGGCAGATCTAAGTCGATTAACAGATCTTCTTTCACTGAAAGAAAAATTGAATTGAAAATATTAAAGGTGTTTTTGTACAGTCAACAACACGTCCGGTTAAACTGTAAAATTTCCCCAATAGCTTTAAAACTTTAACACATATCGAATAGAGGTCAAAATCCATTGCGAAACCGCGTGGAAATTATTTTTTGCAATTTACCTTTTAAAATCTTTACAAATTTAATTTACGGAAGGGTTGGTTATATTGTTTTTTATAAAATAGATGTTACTATAAGAAAAACAACCTCACGTTTTATTTATAACATTTGTTCACTATTAATCAATCATACAAGAATGACTGTACTACGAAAACAGAATAATAATAATCAGACGTTGTTATCTGTTAAATTTCCTTAATTTTAGACCCATTTCAGAGAAAATAAACCATAATACGGAATAATTCTTTTGTATCCAGAATACATTTCCATATTTTTTATAAGTTAAAACAAAGGTCGCAAATAGAATCTAATTTAGGATCGAAAACAATCGGTATCTTACTAACCTTGATTCAAGCTCTTAGAATAGGCGTCTCTAGCTGATCGCGATAGTCTCTGATTGGTAGCTGCTCTGTCATTGATCAGTTTGTTATAGTTGAAATGTTTGCTGCCAGTGTTGCCCCCTCGCGTAGAAGTTGGCTGTGTAGACTCGATAGTACGCCGTTTGCGCAAAACAATGTCCGTATCGTCAGACGACCCATTAGATATTACAGATGCGTTGGATAAGGTTGATGCTACAAAACAAAGAATGATAGATGACATTTTGTTTTAAATTAGTATTGTTTAGTTTGGGTTTAAAAACGTCACTATAATGAGAAAAAAAAACAAAAATTATTTATACCGTCAGTCGGATAATAGAAAAACATACGATACGTATTTTTTGGCTTCAATTTAAACAAGAAATGGTTTAGATAAGCATTAAAGCTCAGAAGTGGGGGCTCGCTACGTCACAGTTTTGTAGAAAATGTACAAAAGCGTGACGTCATGCGACATTTCAACTCAATGTATACCCGTAATTTATTGATTACGCAAAAAATAAAAAATACGTGTTTAATATTCTTCACTAATCTACCTATGTAATAAGTAACTACCAGCAACGGTCCGCATTCGGACCATGAAAGGCTAGGAACGCTAAATATTGACAAATATATCTACAGATAGAATGTCGATACATATTTTCATCATCTTTATCAGCTTAATAATATCCCCACTGCTGGGGGACTGGTTGGTTGGCGATAAGTGCGTTCATTCTGCGAGGCGAAGATTAATTAATTTACTTAAGGGTCGGTCATAAGATTGATTCAGAAGGCACGTTAAACCGTTCGTCAAACCTCACTCAGGTCAGAGTGGTGGGTTATGTCCCGTTCTCCTCATAGGATTCAAATCCATTTATAAAGAAGGCATGTGCTGCAGCATTAGGGATATCAATAAGCTTGTAATGAAGACGAATATCGTCTTTCCTATTTCCAATCTTTATACATTTATAAAAGGACAATCTGACGGACCTATACTCCATTCATTATAGCATTAGACAGAAGTGAAATAAGGTTCTTTTTATGGTATACTTTGTGACAAAATATCAATAATCATGTTACTTTTAAGACTGACGGCTAATTTGCTACATATTCACTTAAATATCAGCTGCTATACTTAACTGTTGTCATTTAAGCTAACAATTAAACAAATTTATGAGTATATGACTAACTTAAATGATTTAATAAGTATTACAATATAAAGTGTCCATCGTAAAGAAGCAGGGTTGGATAGTTTCGGCACGATTCTCATGTCACTATAACTCTACCAAATTTAAAATGTTGCCTAACCCCTTCAAGCGTTTCGGTAGTACAGCTTTTTAATTTTGTCAGACTATTATTTATTCATAATTGTTAAAATCGTAATCTGGGATTGTCATCCATTGTGAATGCTACTGCCTTTCTTGTTGTTTAGCCGTTTTCCGTGATGTTATTGTTTTATTTTTGTTGTTAAGTTTTGGTAAATATGGACGATGCCGGTACAGGCCCGAGTGGCCTACAAAAATTACGCTCTAAGCCCCCATACCTACCCTCAAACTTTGACATTTCAGGGAGTTTTTCCAATGTCTTCATCAATAGTCTAACTTATTACACTTGCAATTAGAATTTATGAAAACATACAGATAGTTTGACGACCTCCGTAGCCGAGTGGTTCGCATGCCGGTTTTAAGGTGTCGCCATCTCTGAGGTCCCGGGTTCGATTCCCGGTCGGGTCAATGTAGAAAATGAACTTTTCTATATTGACTCGGGTCTGGGTGTTGTGGTACCTTCGTTGTCTCAGATACTAAATTCTTTATAACATTCGAATCACATAGTTTAAGTTTTAGTTCCATGTTGGCTTGGGACTAAAGATGAATTTATAAAATGCTGGCCTCATCTCAACCCCGAGATATCATAAAAAATGGAAAATTGCCCAGCTCTTTCAGACTACCTAACGTTCAAAGTTTCAACAAAAGTAATATAGATTTTTTAAATTTATCTTGAATATAAAATGTTCTGCACTACTGCTTCTATGACCCTCTTTTTTCTAATGTTATAGTGAATGGAGTATATATAACAACGCACAGCCGAAACTACTGTACCTAGAAACTTTTTGATAATCAACCCCTATGAAGTGAAATTGAGACTTAAAGTATGAAAATTAGACTACGTGAGCGAAGTCGCTGGCGAAGGGCTAGTCTACATAAATGATGAAAGATAGTCCAGCAAATACGAGACATATCGCTATAAAAATGTTTGTTAGTCATGAATTATATTATCATATCTCGCTTTTCTATCTACAGGCTTGGCTTTTTCTTTGTACAAATATTTACTGAAGGTTAAGTTTAATGCATGAGACATTAAAACAAAAAAAATGTTGACACCATTTAATAATTTATATTTTTTTAATTATTTGTAATATTGTTACAACAATAATACGAAACAAGTACAAGTCGGCATCACGCGCGAAGGGTTCAGTATCGGAAATGAGTAAAAAAATTGGTTTGTTGTATGGGAGCCCCTTCAAATATTTATTTTATTCTGGTTTTTAATTTGTCGTTGAAGCCGCAACAGAAATACATCATCTGTGAAAATTTCAACTGTCACCGTGTTAAACCGTGAAAGTAAGACAGTCGAGTAGCTCGGTGGCGTAGTGGATAAGCGCCGCCGCACGCGATCGCAGTCGTTAAGCAACTTTCGCTAAAGTCGGTCACGGGATGGGTGACCAAAAAAAAATTAATATCTCGAGCTTCGGAAGGCACGTTAAGCCGTTGGTCCCGGCTGCATTTGCTGTCGTTAATACCCTCCAATCAGCATTGGGCCAGCGTGGAGGGTCATGGCCCATCCTCCTTAACCATCCATAAGGAAGGCCTGAGCCTGCAGAGGGGACATAAAAGGGCTGGTGATGGTGACAGACAGACAGACAGCGAAGTCTTAGCAATAAGTCTCCCGTTGTACCCTTTTTGGGAACGCGACCATAAACAGGTGAGTTTATGGACGATTATCGTTTACTAGTTTAAATGGAAATCATATCGACGTCAGAATTACATACGCACCTATTGTATAACAGTGATGAATTGACTATCACCGATAACCGAAGGTGTGACATGTTTATTCAAACCACGTGAGAACCACGTAACTCAATTAGTCATACCTTGCATATACATAAGTTACGTTTGCAAGAATATTAGCGTGTTTCAATGCCATCAATAACAGGGCTAGGACACCTGATTAATGTTCTTAACCGGCTCGTAAGAAACTATGTATTTTTTAAAGTTCCTTTTCTATTTGGGTTTCGGTTGTTAAGAATTGATATCATTTCAGTTCAGATCAAATATCAAACTAACCAGAGAACCTACTACGTTCGTCTACGAATAAAATATTGGAAAATATCGAATCATTTTATCTATATCTTCACAGCGTATGCCAGGTTCGGAACTATGGTTCTTTTTAACCGGGAAGAAATTCGTTTGGCAGCCTTCCTTTACAACGCCCCGTGAAGCCAGATTTTATATTATAATATTTTCCGGTGCATGATTTTTTCTTTTATTTCAGATTCAATTTTAAAAAAGAATTAGTTTAACTGCAAGCAGGTATTAATATAATGATGATTTTGGCACCCCCCAGGTGGTATTTAACAGGTTAATTCCGGTAATTATAATGACCATCCAGCTCAAAGCAAACATTCAAGAAACCTGGTATATAATGGTGATCACATATCTATCAAAGCCGAAAGAAAACGGTTCGTAATTCTAATGACAGGTGACATCTACATTCATATAGGTACTATCACACAAGTATGTGTGCATACGAAGAATTCCAAATATTTTTCTCATGCCTACTTCGGAACGTTACATTCAGATAGATGTGCCATCACCTTAAATAATTAGTCTTCATTGACTGGTATTTTTCGAAATGTTTGCAAGCCCTGCACAATAATAGTGCATAATATGAACTACGCCGGAAACGTAGAACTAATATTGGATATTATTGCGTTGCAATTAGTTGTCAATAATGTAATTACTACGCATAATTTAATTAAATAATAAGTAAACTTCTTTCCACCCCCATCAACTCACAAATAAATGACATACATAACGTTAACTTACAGTATCACATTTGGTGCTAATATGTGACAAGATAAAACTGACAATAAACATCTCTAGTTTTAAATTAATCATTTGGAATTTTCATGACGCATTATTATATACAATATGTTATCGTCTGTCTAGTCATGTCGATTTACTTTATTTTCCTCGTTTTTTTTTTGTGTTCACAATCTCTCCGTAGCCGAGTAGGTTGCACAGTTTCAAGGCTGGCTTTATTACTGAGATCCCGAGTTCGATTCTCGGTCGGGTAATGTAGGAAATTAAATATTCTATATTGACTCAGCTCTTGGAGTTATGGTTTACTATTTCCAGAACAATATGGTTAAAAAAACTCAGAATAAAAAATACATAGGTACCAATTATAACAGCAAAACAGAACTTAAAGTTGAAAGTAAAAGTGAACAATTTAACGTGGGCATAGTTCCGTAACGATCATATGATGAAAAATCAACTAACATTTGTGTAATAAGATTCAAGTAAAATAGTTTTACCTCTTCTGACCGGAGAAACTGTTTGAGGCTTCTTGCTTGATGGAGTAATTTTGCCTTTGCCTGACGTCACCAAAGTGCTAAAAAGAATTTAAAATAGATATAAAAAACATTATTCCAAGTATAATTTCAAATACTAATGCCGTCGCGTGCATAGCCGCCAACTGCGTCTTTGAGTATATTTTTACCTTGGGAAGAGACCAACTTCTAGAGTACGTTGATTTTGTCCCTTCCACCAATGAAGTTCAGGCCTTTTATCTATAAGTATTATAGCATCTCCAGATTCTACCGTCATCTGTCCTTGCCTTCTATAACTGTGAAAGAAAATTTGAGCTCTAAAAACTCGAGATTGAAAACTCAAGATCTCATATTTCAGACATAATATGGACGGTTAACCAAGAACTGTTTTTTACAGACATACTTATTTTTCTAATTAATGACCTATTAGGAAAATTGAGTAAAAAGTAATAATTTAAGACTCCAACTACAGGCCTTCCGCTTGCGCGGAAATGAACAAGCTTTTCTATAGAATACATATAGAATACACAAACCTAACACGTCACGTGCGCATGCAAACACAGAACCTTAGGGGATCTGACAGTAATCATATAAAAATTTAAATTGTGTTTGATAAAAAAGTTTACAAATTTAAAGATTATTCGTCGATTTTTTTTGTTAAATCATTGATTTATATTTTGAAATCAATTAACAAAATTATAATTGGTCGACATATATATTTTGTTTCTCACGTCAAACTAAACACCAATCAGAACGCATGACGTCTTCTGTGGGTAAATTGGTAAAATAACTATCTTGGAAAAGTGCGGGAAACATTCAAAGTGTAAAGTTCAATAGGTTACAATGGTATTTTTCTGTTTTATTTAATGTGTGACTTAGGGCCAGTTTTTTGATCCGTGGTTAACTCAACCATTTGTTAAAATCTTTGACAAATGGTTAAATATCAGAAAAATATGTTTTTTGATTAATAGTTAGCCTAACCAATTGTCAGAATTCCAACCATTTGTCAAAAAATTTAACCATCACTGGAAGCTAGGTTAAATAAATGACCAATTGTTAAAAGAACAGATGTACAACTACGTTGTATTTACTTGGTCCCTTGTTATTGTTTTTTACGTTGTCCTTATTACCTACATGATTTCATAGTGAATTTGGACATTAGCTATTTTTGGGATTTCGTTTTATGATGCAATTTCATAGGAAAATATTCATTGTCATTTTTGGTTATAGGGTTATTGAAAATAAGTTATATTTTTATCTTGATCATCCTTAGTATATTTGTACTATAGTAGAAATAATTTTTCTTGTTTCCACAGGCAGATGCCAAATTATTCAATTATTAAAAATCTTATAAATTCCACGAATAGACAATACACAAGGTAAATATGCCTACAGTACATAAAATATATAGTCCTCGATTTATTGTCCAACATTACAATCCCACCTTGGATACTAGATACTATAATCTTTTCACGTATTTCTCTATAAGATAAATAAAAATAAATATATGCTTTTTATAAAAAAGTTAAGTTCAATATAACTGGAAAAAACATATCTTTATTGCTTTCTAACATTATTAAAGAAATTGCCTCATATTTCCTGAAAAATAACACATAGTGCACACAACAGAACAACCATAAACATCCACACTGTTTGATAATCTATAGATTTCTTTCGTCTATTTGATGTTTACAACAAAATCCTAATGTCAAAAATGGTATATAGTTCGCTCCGTTCATTCAAACCGTTAGTGTTGTCACCCAGAAAAAAATTACCCATGTCAGTGTATAGCGAAAAAACGACTCATTGTGCTGGCAACAAATTGGCCAGTGGTTAAATTTGGCTATGGTTTAATTTGTCATCAAAAAAACGAAATAGCGAGTTAACAACTTGTTATTCTTTTAACTATAGTCAAGTTAACAAATGGTGACATTTGACTAAGGATCAAAAAACTGGCCCTGAATGTAATAACCACCAATACAATATTTTAATTTTTCAAATATATGTTTGGGTACATAGTAAGGCTTATTTACATAAAATAATATTTTTTGTGGGAATAAGCATTCAAATTAATAATTTAAAACAGATTTTCGTAGGTTGCCCGATCCTCTATAGGCAAAAATTTTTCATATCATCCAAAATAAAACTTCAGTAAAGGTACACTGGTTTATCTTATAAAATATATCTACTGAACTAATTATTAGGTAAACACATACTATTACAAACTAACTTTAAATCTACTAATGATTCTAATAATTTATAGCAATCAAATTCTTTCTAGGCAGGCAATATGCTTCAACGGATGTGCTGTACGTTTTCTTGCTAAATTTATTTAGCTGCAACTAAATAACTATTCAATTTAAATTATAAAAAGAATCTATCCTACATCCCACGAATCGAAAAGTAATTTATTAGATTAAAATAGTTGCAAAAAGTTTCTAGACAGTCCTAACATATTTTAGACCTTTTACTACATAGATATGATTTATTCAATATTCTTCAGTAATTGCAAATACAAAGAATAATGTTAAAATATGGCAATCAACATAATAATTTCACTGCTAGCTTTCCTTGAGTTGACAGTGGCAAGAAAACTAAAGCCGGAACAATGAACACATTTTATGTTTTTTTTTAAATAATTAGGGAATTTAAATAATTAAGTTGTTGAAAAGTGGCCATTCGTGTTTGTTATAATATAGTTTGATTAAATAAATTTTTGATTCTGACATTTTCATAGTTTTAATTTATATATTTATAAAGAAGTTATTGAAGAAATTATGGATTACCTGAGAGCAGCAATGTTGGTTTCAAATTTATTTGTGTCCATATATCGTTGAATACCAGCAAAAGTAGGTCTTTCCTTTGGGTTAAGGTCCCAACACTGCATCATGAGCATATAGACATCAGGAGGGCATGCGTTCGGCGCGGTCAGCCGCTGACCTTCGCGCATTATTAGCCGTAATATCTCCGACCCATTCAAGCCTGAAGGAGGTTGAATGATTAGTTTTTGTTTAAATTATTGAATGAGACAAATTATTATAAATTATGAGATTTAAGGTCTGAGCCCCTGCAATGGGGATGTAAAAGGGCTGGTGATGATGATGATGAGATTTGAATTACAAAAAATAATTGTGAGTGAACTTATTATTAGCAAGACAGAATATGACTGGACAGTTATGATAATGACTTAAGATGGTATTTTTAATTATTAATTTGGGAAACAAACATTTGTTTACAAGTAATGCAAAATCAAACCTTATTAAACTTATACACCTGCCAGTTACATTTCTGCATACTAATAAAATTAATGTTAGTTGCAAACTATGAACAATGGTAATGACATCTAATAAACTATTGCATAAAACAACAATCCATATAATATTTTTAAAGCTTAAAAAGCTTTAAAAATATAGTGAAAAAATGATAATGTAATTCAAATTGTTAATGAAGAATCTACAGGAGTGTCAAGTATTGTATTATCCTCATAATAATTATTAGGTTCGTTTTTCTATAGTAAGAATAAGTACCTATCCAAATACATACCTATCCAAGGCTCCTCACCAAATGTGTACATTTCCCAAAGGGCAACAGCAAACATCCAAACATCAGATGCATGAGAAAATTGCCGAGTACGGAGTGACTCTGGTGCACACCAAGGAAAAGGCACACGTCTTCTCTCACTCATTACATAAAAATCATCAGCATCTGGTAATGCTCTCATTAAACCAAAATCACCAATTTTTACCTTAGAAAAATTAATTTATTGCTTGTTATTTAATTTAAATCAATAAAACTTTAAGGAAAATATTTTTGTTAGGCATACAAAATTCTACATATATAAAAATTTTAGAGTTTTAGGAAATATAAAACAATATACAATTATATCTATTTTCAATAAACTTAGGAGTCGCCCAAATCTACCACCTAAATATTTAAGAATCTCCTAAACTAAAAATAAAAAGAACTAGGAACCATCTAACGAAATTAAACTATGTCTAAGGTTATGATATTCGTTATGTGACGCCTTGCGCTAGACATTTGTGAATATGAAAGGTCATAAATATGTCATGGGATAAAAGAGAAGAATACTTATTTGGAATTAAACAAATCTGATAAGGCAATTCCTCATATTAGATGGTCCCTAGTTAAGCTATGCCATTAAATAAATATATTAAGCTTATTTAATGGCTGAAATTTATATTAGGAGATGTAAAAAACTATAATTGGCTTATTGTTTATTATGACTGTAGTCTATGATATTTGAATAGCTGTTGGTTTTCCAATAAAGATAAATAAATATATATAAAGGAAGTTTTAAATTAATGCATTATTGTATTTGTAGTGCTATGTTAAAGCAATACTTACAATTTCCAAAGTAGACAGCAAAATATTTCTGCATGCCAAATCTCTATGCAAAAATCTATGTTTCTCTAGATATGCCATTCCAGCAGCTACTTGACTAGACCATTTTGATATATAATTCAGAGAAATTTTGCCATTCTGGGCTCTAATATAATCCAGTAAAGCTCCCATTTGTGCAAGCTCACACACCATCATTAAAGGATGGAACACTACACCATGGAGTTTAATTAAATTATCATGTTTCAAACTGTGCATAGCCTCTACTTCTCTTCTAAAATCATCATATATTCCTGGTTGAGAAAAAGCATCAGCTTTCAATACTTTCACTGCCACTGGCAATGTTTGTCCAGATTGATTTGAAATTTTCCACTCGCCTCTTTTAACTACACCAAAAGATCCATTACCAAGTTCATTGTGTAATCTAGAATTAATGTTTGATTTAAAAAGAAGGGAAGACAATATAGAAATAAATAAATACATAAGATTTAATACTATCATTAGGTTGGTAAACAGCACCTTTTTCACATTCTTTTCACATTATTAACAGTGTTAATATAATCTAAAACACATATGAACTCACTAGATTTTTTTTATCATGTACATACAAATACTTACACCAAGTCTTTTTCTAAAATTATACATGTTGTTTGTTGTTCTGTTTTAACTATTGGTCTTATCGATAAATCAGTTTTATCTCTATTTAAAGAATTTGATGATGTTCCAAATAGTTTGTTCCAGAACTTTTTGTTCCATAATTGTAGTTTCTTTTTTCTAACAGCATCAAACAATCTTCGCACACCAGGCTTGCTGATGCCAATCTTTTCCAAGTCCTCTGCATGTACATAGTCAAAATGTGCTAATCTTGTTATCTAAAGGAATCAATAAATACAATTACTTAAATGATGTTTAATTCGTCTATAATACTTAATATATTGAAACTATAATTTCACCTGTAGTTGGTCTCTAATTGGTAAATAGAATTGTTCCAACTGAACATTTTGCAGTATCTCATAAAGCCAATCTGTGCCTGAATCCATCGATACTAATTTCTTCTTGTAAAAGCCAGAAATGGTAGCATTTCAAGCAGGAAGTTGTTACAGAGCACAAGTATGTGCTGCGGGAATGGCAAAAATTATCAGTAACTCAAAACACTTTCAAAATGAAAACACAAAAATATAATGCCCCTTCTTTAACAATAATTCACTTATAGCGAAACTTTTTAACTATTTATATATAGATTATGTACACCTAATAAATTAAATTCACAAAACAAACGGATGCATTTCCCAAAAACGCATCTCACTCACACACATGATAAAAAAACGTAAAAAAGCAAAAGCAACCATTTGTCAAGTTTAACTTTGACGTTTTATGGTTTAGTCCGAATCTTGAATGAAATATATCGCACACCTAGATGTAAACTGAAACAACTCAAAAAACCTTACTTTTAAACTTACGGAACTTATTAAACTCAATTCTTTTTAAGATCATAAAAATTTATACTATTTATAAATTGGGTCTAAAAATTGATAATTTTAAGTGATTTTTGCTATTTTTGAGTTGTTACACTTTAGGATAAGGACTAGGTACAAAAATGAAACCATATTTAGACTTGAAATAGTTTTCATTGAACATTCTACTTAAACCTATTTATGAACAAAAAAAAATACCATACTAAATGATTGACAGAACACAAAACATTCATCAAAAAAGTTATACTTTTTTCTTTCATTAAGTAAATTATTTTAATATGCGTAATGCTAATCACAACTCAAAAAAATAATCTATATAACTTAAAGCAAAATAAAGTATTTAGGTTGATAATAAATATCAAAATATAAATTCTGAAATATTAAAATTAATTTAAGAAAATAAATAGTGTTTTAAATAAGTATTATGGTTTTTTAGCCTTACAGTTTTTAGACTTATAAGAGCTTTTTCTTAACAAACATAAAATTAGTATCTGTTCTTAAATAAATTTCTTAGAATAATTTTGGTATTGCACTTATGAGATCAACATTTGAATTAGGGTCATTTATATAATTATTATACCCAATAACAATCCAGTCTCTTGTTATAATTAAATAAACGACAAGACAATGAAATATAACAAATTAACAAAAATAGGAAAATAATATTTTTTTGTGATACACTTAAAAGGCACATTAGTTTTAAAACAGTCAATTAATACCCATAACATTTTAAAAATACGAATTTACGTATGACTGTAGTATAGCGTGTTTTCTTATAAGATATGTAAGGTCTCTAATTTTTGTCTCAGGGAGGGGTATTTTTTATGTATAGGCTTGTCTAAGTCCCGTAAATATTATCTGATCGGTTTGGCGTTTACGCACGGATATACTATTTTTTTATATAGTATGGCAGCACTGATACTTTTTTATAATGGAGAAGTATTTAAAAAATGAAAATAGTTCTTGAAATCAAACTAGATGTCACTCGCGATGTTTGGATATTGTTTATGATATTCATTCAAATTTTGTTTCTGACGTAATAAAAGTAAATTAAGTATCAAAAATTAATAATTATGATATCTTTTAGTGTTTCTTATAATATCTAACTTTCAAATCATTTTAATTTATTTGAATAGTAAGTTTAAGTTATTTATTATGTTACGTGTAAAGGAACGATGTTTGGCTCATATGTCAAGATTAATGATGAGCCAAGTTATTGATTGCTCGTAACTTCAATTGACTCGATTTATATGAATACAGGTTTGGAATCAAGAACAAAAAGCAGAGCGCAAAATTCTGCTTGTTTTTTTATATGCAGTATTTCCATATGTGCATATCACTCATCCACACGTCGAATTATAAATATCAAAATCAATTCAGCCTAGGCTATATAGGCATATAGTACTTGTGAAAGTCGAAAGCTTTGCCAATGGCTCGCAAAACTAAGGCGGGAGATCTTGTACTGAGAAGAACCGACAAGAAACTAAGCAAGGGATTCTTTTTACTCCCTGTTTTATTTCACAAAGAAAAGTCTTAATGGAATGTGACTTAATTAGACTGTGAAGTCACTTTTCATTACAAAATCAGAAATCCTACATTCTCATTGACAAATCAATATATAATATTCATAATAAAAGAAAATGGACGAAATAAAATAATCCAGTGCAGACTCACCCCCACTGGCAGCAGTTGACGAGCTTCACACATGAGCCAGCCATCGCTTCATTAAACTATATTTGAGGGAACGTAACGATTTGACGCACATGGCACCACTGCAGAGATTTTTAAAAGAGCATGACTACTCCAGGTATTTAATAAATAATATATATCAATAAAACTGATTTCTAGAGTAGGTTGAGTAGGAAGTCAATCTATTATATATACAGGGTCCAATTTTGTTTCAAATATACATAAATGACTTGTGCAAACTCAAGTTACAAAATTGTAATATATATGTATATGCGGATGACACCGTACTTTTGGTGCACGGTAATGACTGGAAAGAAGCCAAACTATACGCAGAGACTTCATTACAACAAGTGGCTAATTGGCTTTCCGATAATTAACTAACACTCAATTCAGAAAAAACTCAGGTACTTTCCTTCCTTTATATTACGATATTTAGCTGAACCCGAAGTAGTAAAAACTGTGTACTTGTCACTATGCCAATCGATTCTTACACACTGTATCACAGTGTGGGGTGGGGCAGGTAGTACCGCTATGTTGAAGTTGGAGAGAGCTCAAAGGGCTGTCCTAAAAATTATGACTCTTAATGTCAGGTTTTAGGTGTCCGGAAACTCTTTATTTTGCGCTGTATTTTGCGGAGACACACCGTTTTTCCCTTAGATTTGAATACCTTCTCGCGTAAACGCGCTTCTGCTCAAGTTTACCGTTCAATACCATATAAAACTGCTTTCGCTAAACGACAATTTGACGCACTCTCTACGGTATTATATAATAAATTGCACGTTAATATCCATTTACTGCTTGAACAGGTATGAAGCAAAAAACAAAATTACCAGCTACCTACCTTCTCACTCTCACCTATACAGAAACAGAAAACATTCTAAATTAAAAGATGAAAGAGGTAGAATTTGAAATATTTATTTATAATAATAAAACTTAAATAAATAAACATAACATTGCTTACCACTAATCCATTTAAATATTAAATTCTTTATTCACGCACATAGGTACTCACTCAACTAGCCATAAAAAACTTAAACACAGGCTTATCCACGCACGCAATACATACCACACCATATACACTCACTCACACACACAAACACACACTTCTAAAGTTTTTAAGACTTTTACCCTGCTTATCTTAAGTTTTTCAGTACGAAGCGTCCTCAATTCACATTCCTTTATAAATAACTCTCTGAGGAATCGCTGGCCCTGATAATACAGATTCTCTAGTTTCGGGGTCAGAGATCTATAACCTGAAGCAATATGTATAAAACCTAAATTAAGCATTTGCCCTGTACTTAATAATAATATAAACAACTGTATGTAAAATTTTGGGTTTGAGTGAATAAATAAATTTTATTATTATTATACTGGGAGGAACAAAATGACCGACACAGCCGAAAGTTTCAAGTTAGGTTACATGCAAACGTTCATTTTATTTGACAAATATTTAAAAATAGAGGAGGTGAAAAAAGGAGTAAAAATTTTAAATTTCTAAGTGTTAACAGCCCTATAACGCGCATGCGCAATATCTATTGTGTGCAGATTACAACGAACCGCGAAATACATTAATTTAATTAAATTATTTACCGATATCTTAATGATAGTCGATGCCGACAAAAAAGACGCTTCGCAGCGGTGCGTTGGCGGCGATGCGCAACAACACTCCAGCGCAAAAGGTCGACCGTGACTTAACGATCCCGTTGTTAAAGGAGTATTACCCCATTCAAACAATTTTTTTGGAGAATTGCTCTTTTAAAATAACGTAGGTTAATGTTAGACTGATCTCTCTACAATAATTTAGGAAATTTTACACTCGGTTTCTTAATTGAGAATTTAAAGTTAAACGTCTCAAACTAACATCACTTAGTTTTCGTTTCCGATTTTAGTTTTTTGATGATCAGTTGATAAAACTAGGACTATTTGACTTGTGAAATTAAAAAAACTTAGGTTATTGAGAATAAGCAGTAGAAAATTTCTACTTTTTTCAAATTAGAAACCGGCTGTTAGTCTGTAAATCGATTTAAGCATTTTGACTGCCTTGTTTATTGATTGTCTGGTAGAATTTGCATGAAAGTAGTCTTATAAATCACAAACTAGTTTATTTCGTTTTTAGAAATGAAGAAGTCAATGACCGATTAAAAACTTTTCCTTAGTACGTCCCAAAAACAGCTGAGTCAGGGTCGAAAACACTCATTTTTTTCAAAAACTTTGTAATTTAATATCTCCGAAACTATTTGACCTAGACTTATATTTTTTTTTACATCATATTAAAGACAAATAGTACTCTCCAGGAACCTCGGGAGTGTCGGTCGTTCTGTTCCACCGAGTATATTATTGACAATATTATGAGGAAGTATTTAAAAAAAACATAAGTTCCCGAAATCAAACTAGATGTCGTTACGGTACAGTCTTGATTTCTCCATTACACCTCTTCCGGTTTTCTTTCATGTTTAAAAGAAAATTAGTTTTCAAAACTCGATAAACAGCTCATATTCTGTTTATACTTTTTTTGCCGAACATAGCTTGGATCCGTGTCAGAGTCATCAATAATACTTTCTTCACTTATCGAAATAACTAAATAATTTTCGATTGCCTGCTGTGGCATGGTTTAGATAGCATGGAATTGTTTATTGGGCTGTTTTCTTTATTTTCTTCTTGTGCTTCTATATTCAGAGACGTTGCTGACTCTTTTTCTTTAGCTGTCACTGGATTCTCTTTGTTTCGTTCTTTTATAATATTAACAAGAAGACGGCCTCGCTTCATTTTTTTTTGAAATGTGTCTAGTATTTTTAATAAAATGGGACATAGTTGGAATGAACACAGAATAACTTTTCAAAAGATATGACAATAAAGTACATGATTTTTTAAGCAACACTTGCAAAATGTCATGTTTGATATTGAAAGTCATTGAAATAAATTTGTTCCAGGAAAAGTAGATTGACTAGAAATTTACATGTTGATCCATTAAAACAAAACCAACGTAAAATAACGACAAAATGTTTACTTATCTTATCAAATAAAACTGGAACAAGTCCAAATACCGAGAAGTATTAGCACAAAACAATTCACCAATACAGTAATAACTCAAATTAATGTGTTTCTTGGTACAACAAAACTGTAACAGTTCGAAATGTTCGCACTTTCGTTAA